AATGTGAGGTATTAGAGGAGTAAGATCCTTGAGTCTTACTCCTCCAGACAAGGCCTCTCTGGAGCAGCCCAGCACAGATCTTGATGAAGGAAGGGGAAGAGGCCTGTGATGAGAGTATCTGTATGTGATCATGCTGAGTTCTTGTGTCCTGCCCACAGGGTGACAGACTTATTAGGGGTGAAGTAAAAGTATCTAAATACACACTGTAGTTTTAGTGACTGAATTCTAAAATAAATGAAGACTGCAATATCAATATCTGTACCTTCGCACCTTCTGTACCGAGATTGTTACAGAAAACATACAGATGTTATAACAATGGAGTGTGTCAAGTATTCTGTGTGCACTGTGAGTCCATTTTGCACATTTTGCTGACAAACAGGAAAAAAAAGTCAGGTTTGTCCAAGTATTGTGTGTTGTGCAAGAATTGGCACCCTCACGCAGGGCAGTGAACATAAACAGTTGGGTTCTGGGAAATCCGTGTCAATCTGTATTGTCTGGGGGAGTTTCTGTGTCTGGGGTGGGGAGTTGAATCAGGTCTGCTCTCTCTCCTCCTTCACATTCACTTCCAGAGAGCTTTGGAACAAAGTGACCTGTAAGAGAAAGCTGTTCGAATTTCACTGTGGGAAAGAGAAACTCAGGAGGAAAGAGGTAAGACAATTTCAAACATCTCAGGATGAACATACAAACTCCACATAGACAGCACACAAGGACCAGAACTGAACCCAGGGCCCCAGCGCTGTGAGGCAGCAATGCCCACCACTGTGCCACAATGGCACCCACCTAATTAGTGATAGGCCTTCCATTAACATTGCAAGTAAACCAGTCAGTGAAAGACCCTGTCAGGGATGAAGACAAGGCCAAGGAACCAGCTGAACAAACCTTTTCTTCTCCCTGGAAAGGTGACAGCAATCAGAGCTGAGAATAAATGCCAGGAGGACTGTAATCCCCAAATGGTCTGCTTTCTTTCCCTCAAATCAATAAAAACTTTTGTACACCCATGTGACATAACTGCTAATGGAACGTCTTTTCAAAATATTACAGAAACGCAACAACCGTTCTAGATTTGAGCCAAACATTTTATTTCTTGGAACAATGCACAGAAGAAAAGGAAATATAGCCCCAATTGTACCCCACCTCTCCCAGCCCATCATCCCCACCATCAAGGTGACCCCCTTATTGTTGGTACCCAACAATAGTGGTACCCCAGACAATCGGAGGAGTCCAAGCCCCTCTGCTCAGCCGCAGAAGGAGGAGATACAGAGATACAAGGAAAGCAGAAGGGTTTTATTCTAATTCCTGCCCAAATCCACCACCACAGTGTCCCTGCACCCCCACACAGCTGGTCCGGAAACAACACCGTGTGCAGTTCACTGAGGTAACAGTCCACCAGAAAGCCCATACTTACCACTTCTACTGTAAAAAGAGCTTTGTCTTTATTACAGCAACTTTGTCAAGCTGGAGTCTTCTTCTCCAGCCTCCACTGACACAGCTTGAGATCAAAGGTCAGGGAAGGCAGGTCATTGAATGCAGGTTGAGCCTCAGGCCTGGCTCAGCAGCTCTCCTCCTGCTTCTGTGCTGAAGGAAAGCGCAGCAGGCGAAGAAGGTACAGGAACGTACAGGAACGTACAGGAACGTACGGCAAAGGCAGATCTCCAAATCTCTGATCCTAAAAACTAGGGAAAGGGAATGTCCGAAATTGTGACCATTCTTGTTGTCTCAATAAAGCTTCAACCAGCATCTCCATACCTAATGGGACCAATAAAGAGGGCAGCTCACTAACTCTGATTTTGGTTGCTTGAGGTGTTTCTGGTTGCGAGTTTCAATTTCTGCTTGAATAAAGTCTTTCCGAGAGAAAGATTTAAGTAGTAGATACTGTAGATGGGTAGAATCAAACAAAATCTGGGGAGAGAAGGAGTTTGTTGATTAGCCACAGCTGTCCTGGCTAATGAACGCCTAACGACAAGCCACAGCTGTGGGGGCCCTTAAAGACACACTGAGTACCTCCCCGGAGGGACGAGCAGATCCCCGCAAGGGGAGAATCTTCCAGTGACAGGCCCACAGGGGACTCTCCGGTGGGGAGAGAGCTTCAAGGCCGTTGGTTTTTTGTTTTCATTTTCTTTTCTTTTCAGCGTGTCCCGCGGTGTACCTCCACGGGGGCAGGCTGACCTTTTCTCCCACTGTCCTGCCATGAACCTTTGGGTTGATAGGGTAAGACCAGCCTGGGCGCTTCTATGCCCCCTGAAACAGGGGCGGTCCAGTCTGCACCTGTCTTTTTCCTTTTAAATTGTTTTTTCCCTTTCTTGTGTTTTTTGTGGTTTCTGCTAGCCTCACGCTGGTACCTCCGCCCCCTCAGAAGGGGCATTGACTTTTACTGGCGTTCGCCGCGGCTCCTCCCACTCTCGCACTGCCACACCGCCAAGCGCCTGCGGACAAGTTCCAACATAGACTTACAGCAGCGCGATCTACACTAGCGCTCTGGACGCACCAGGGGAAACTGTTTCTCTGTTTCTCTGGTGATTTTTCAAGCTGCTTGACTGGCTAAAACTCTTCCCGCACTGGCTGCAGCTGAACGGCTTCTCACCAGTGTGGACTCGCCGGTGCTCTTTCAAGTGGACGGCACAGCTGAAGCTCTTCCCAGACTGTGGGCAGCTGTGAACTCACTGGTGCCGCTTGAGGTCGTTCGAGTAAACAAAGCTCTTCCCACCCTGACCGCAGTCACAGGGCCGCTCCCCCGTGTGGATCCGCTCGTGGTCCTTCAGGATCCCGGAGTGGCCGAAGCTCTTCCCACACTCCCCGCGGGTGTGCAGCCGCTCCCCCTTGTGGACGCGCCGGTGCTTCTTCGAGCTGCTCGAGCCCCGCCCGCACTCACCGCGGGTGAAGGGCCGCTCGCCGATGTGGGTCCGCCGGTGCTCTCTCAAGGTGCAGCTGAAGCTCCTGCTGCACAGGCTGCAGCCGTAGGGCCGATCGCCCGTGTGGGTCTGCTGGTGCTTCTTCAAACTGCTCACGTGCGAAAAGCTCTTCCCGCACTGACTGCAGCTGAACGGTCTCTCCCCGGTGTGAAACTGCTGGTGCTCCTTCAGGCTGCTGGAGCGAGTGAACCTCTTCCCACACTGACTGCAGCTGAACGGCCTCTCATTCCGCGTATTAATCCTCACCGAGTCGGTCTTCCTCCCTCTCAGGCCCTGCTGCAGCTCGGTCTCCTCTTTAATATACAATTTCTTGTATTAGCAATTTGTCTCTCAAAGATCCCTAATCGTTTGAGAAAACGAAACGAACACCCTTCAGAAAGCTAAGCTTTTACTCGAAGGCATCCTATGCTGTTAGGACGCAGACTCCACCGCCGCTGACCCCAGGAGGAGCCGCCTGTTCCCGGTCTGCTCCTGCCGCCGACTCCTTCTCCAACAGCCGGGACCTCAGCGCTTCGGTCTCCTGCTTCACTCAGGCTGTTTCCACCTCCGGACGCGCCAATCCGCTGGCAAGCCGTGTGATTTCAAGCTCCGCCGATCTGCTCAGAGATGCCTCCGAAAGGCGGGCCAGTCGGTTCTGCAAAGCGACACCAGAATCGGACCCTAGAAGAGATCTGCAGCTTCGCCCCTCTGGGTTCGTAAATTAGAGACAGATTCCGACATCCCGAGTCTTTCCGACGCGATTCTGGTAGGACAGTGATCCGTCCCTGAAGCTGTGTCGTTGTCCTGAGCTTGCACCTTCGTCACGCAGGTGACGTCATTCTGCCTTGTCACAGCGGCAACTCAGGTCAACCACCACTCAGCTTTTTTTTTATTATTTTTATTTTTGCTTAACAGAATAACAAAAATCACAATACAAACAAGAGGACATATAACAGTTCAAGACAAAAAGATCGTCAGGGTTACATATTACTACATAAATTCAAGTTATGAAAAAAGATTGAACAAATTAAATAAAAATAATGTCCGCACCGCTTTCAGATTTTTGCACTTCAAAATAGTCTGCAAATACCCCCTTACATCCATTTTAAAATGCTCAAACAAAGGGGTCTTCCCAGACCACCTCATTTTATGTATATAATAAAGTGCCATTATAATAATTAAATTGATTACAAACGAATTTTTTACATTGTTTTCGATGGGGCTGAAACTTAACATAACATCTTTTTCATCAAAACAAATATCAATATTGGTTTCTTTTTTAATATAAGTTTACAACTTTTACCCTGGGACATGCTGAATAGTTTCAGGGTATTGGCACAAAAAACACATTTGTCATCTATATTATTTTTAAATTAAGAGTCTTAAGAGTCTTAACTGGGTAAATTCGATGAATTCTTTTTTATGAAACCTCCTTAACCTTATCGGTTATACAATATTTATTGGGCATCATCCAAATATTTTTCCAGTCAATGCGTTTTCCAAATGAGGAATTCCATTATATTGTAACCGCAAGTACATTATCATTTTTCAACAGGGATCTGTCCCGATTGTAGTCCCGATTGTAGTCCCTCCTCCTTAAGGGCGTTCCGGCTCTTTCACTTCGGACCTGATTTTGTGCACCTGCCCCTTGTTCTAGACTCCTGCCAGCCCACCTTAAAAGCCAGGCGCTGACGTTAATCCGGGCTCTGCTCTGGTTTCCGCACCAGGCGAGTCCGGGACCTGGAAGCGCCTGGTCCCGTTAAGGTTTTATTTTCTGTTCCCGTTTCCCCTGCTGGTTCCGACCCGGTTCCTGTTTTTAATCTCCTGTTTTGGATGGATCACCCGGCCATGGACTTTTCCCCTGTTTTTGGATTCTCCTTTGAAATTCTCCCTGGATCGTTTGCCTCGGCCACACCTCCCCCAAACACCAGCGCACCAAGGACACGCCCCCTGTCTTCATCCCCGTATCCTGCATGACTTTTCCCCCCTGTATTTCCTTCACTTTTCCTTGGATTGTGTCGTCCGCATAGGGTCCGGAAAGAACTGTATCGTTACAGGATCCCAAAAAATTGGTTATTCCATCCACAATTCAAAATGTCCTTTCCTTGTAGTCTAATGTGAGCTGTCAATTCTTCCAGCGTTTCTAAAGACTACTATTACAATTCCTTAAAAGAGTTAATATTTCCCCAGAAATCACATTAATTACAGTGAAATACTGATTTAAATGAATAGAAATATTGTATCTATTAACAAACTCGGTGTAACTATATATTTCACCACCAGCATTGATTAATTGTTTAATCCAAATTATACCATTCTTGACCCAATTTTAAAAAAATAAGGTTTTATGTCTAATTTTTATATATCTGTTGTTCCAAATAGTAAATCTATAAGGGGAGAAGTTATGTTCATACATAAGTGACCACGTTAGAAGTACTTGTTTATGAAAACTAGCAAGTTTCAAGGGGATTTCTCCAATGTCAAAGTTACACTTCAGTAAAAACTCTATACCCCCTACTTCTTGAAATATCAAATTGGGGATTATATGCCATATACTTTGCTTATTTTTTAAATAGTTTTGTATCCATTTAATCTTAAAAGTAGCACTAGATGTCCTAAAATCTAAAACATTTAAGCCCCCTCCTGCCTGTGGACAACAATTAATCTCTTTTTTAAGATAATGGGGTTTATTCCTCCAGATAAATTTGAAAAGTTTAGAGTCACTTTTCCTAATAATTGAAGGTGGTACATCCAGAACCAGCAAAGCACACACGAATCTAGATAAGCCCTCAGATTTAGACAAAAGTATTCGACCATTTAAAGAAAGGTCTCCTAACAACCATAAGTCAAGTTTTTTTCTCAAATGAATGCATAATTGGAGAAAAGTTTAGATCATTTCTAATTTTTGGATTTTTGGAAATCTTAGTACCAAGATATTCAACTACATCTTTAACAGGAATATTACATATGGATGAGACATCACAATTCCCAAGAGCCATCAGTTCACATTTTTTTTAATTAAGAGAAGGACCAGAAACAGAGGAAAAAACCTTTATACACTTAATTGCCTTCTCAATCTCTGCATAGTTTCTTAAAAATAGCGTTGTGTCATCAGCTAATTGGGAACACTTATCTCTCTAGCCTGTATTTGAATACCCTGAAACACATATCTTTGTATATGAATAGCCATAACTTGTGTGACCAGCAGGAATAAAAATGGGTTTATGGGACATCGTCATCGAATTCCTCTACCAATTCTAAATCTATGAGAGGTTCCATGAGCCAATTTAACAGAGCTGTTACCCTGATTGTACAAAGTTCTAACTACCTTCTGAAAATACTCACCAAAGCCAAACAAAATTGAGAGTTTCAAAAATAAAAGATTGTTCAATTGTGTCAAAAGCCTTATAAAAATCCACAAATAGAATAAAGCTATCCTGACTTATAAGTTCACCCTAGTCTATAATGTCCAACGCCAATTGAATATTGTTACATATATGTCTTCCTTTCATAAAACCTGATTGTGACTCAGCAATAATTGAGTCAAGGCCTGTTTTCAGTCTCTCTGCTAAAACAGACGCTAGAATCATTATTAATTAAAGTGATAGGTCGCCAATTGTCTGTCAACAAATGATCTTTATCTGGTTTTGGAATTATGGTTATTAAGCCCTGAGTCATTGAGCTTGGTAAAACTCCCTTGTCAATTGATTCCTTAAACACCAGAAGAAGAAATTCAGCCAAATCAAAAGGTTTTATAAAATTCAGTGGTAAGGCCATCATTACCAGGAGATTTGTTAACCTTGAGCTTACTAATAACTTTCTTAAAAAATGGATATCTCTTCATCACAGATGACTTTAAACCCTTCATCTATAGTTTTAAAGTCTTCTTTTAATGAATTCGGAAAATCACACATTTTATCCATAGAACATGCCTTACTAGTATATAACTTACAATAAAAATCTGATACATATCTTGAAATTGCTACAGGATTTTGAGTTTCACAGCCATCTATATTAAGTTTACTAAGTGATGTATAATCTCCATTCTTTTTTTCCAAATTATAAAAGTGTTTTGAGTTTTTTTCACCTTCCTTCAGCCATCGTTTTCTGGATCTAACAAAAGCTCCTTTTGCTTTTTCTATGTATAGTTCATCCAGCTCAGCTTGCAGTCCAACTAATTTACAAGTATCTGCTTGATTGGTATTGCTGTCATCAGTAAGATCACAAAGTGCCTTAATAACGTCCTCTTCCTTTTAATGTTTTATTAGAACGTCCAGCTTCTTAACTTCTTTTTATGGCAATTAATCTTATCTTATACTTCATAAATTCCCAGTTTGGGCTATATGAATTTGTTAATTGAGCTCGCCTCCAATGTGTTTGTGTAATTTCCTTAATTTCCATTTTAAAGCTGTCATTTTCCAAAATCCTATTATTAAGTTTTGTGTGATTGCAAAGTAAAAGTCTTTTAACCTTCATCCAAGAACGACATTGTTTCAACATAAAAGACCCCCCACCCCCACCCAAACCTCAACCTTATTCTTGGTAACCCGCGAAGTTTAAAAAGGTTACGAGGGAGAGGTCACGAAGGAGCAATGAGAAGTACACTATTCCTTGTACCAGTTATAGTTTAATGTCATTCATATAACATTCAGAAGAATAACTCATACAGGTGACTATGCTACAGGACAAATGCACTATTGACAAAGCAGTTTGAATCAACAAATCTAACACAATAAAACCTTCAGTTCTGGTTGGATTTACTGAAGCAGATTCGGGAGGACTGAAACGTCTCTGGTGATTACGTGGAAGAAACATTAGATAAGATTTTGCCTTCTCAAAATAATAGAAGTATATATCTTTCACCATATCTTTTGTAACGCTTACGGCCACCAACGAGCGTGTAAGAGCTGGCTTACCAGAGCGGTGACGTCACCGCCCTTCCCTGTGATAGCAGGGCCCACAGCCGCTGGGCTGGGGGGGAGATCTCTCTTTAGCTCAACAGGCTGGGTCCCTGTTGAGTGACGCTGGAGGCCCGGGTTCGAGGCCCCGACGGTGGGGGGGGCCGACCTGATGCAGGCAGCAGGCGAGGGCGCCCACGTGAACCCTGTAGCGTTGCACTTTTAATTTGGTGCATTTACGTGATTTCTATTTGATTCATTGCAACGGCATTTACTGAAACCCAACGGATCTTCAACAATTCTGGTTTCCTTATATCGCCTTGGAACTTTGACGACAGATGAGAGATGATCAGCCCTTCCCCCCCTTGGCAGATCAGATCCCAACCTTGCCCTGTTTACACCACTATACACGCCTATTGTCCAGCGCTAACCTGCGACCATGAGGACTTTGAGGTGATGGTCTTAGGAGGCTATGGAGGATCTACGTGGTGCTCTGGAAGTTACCGACTGGGATGTGCTGTGCGAGCCACATGGGGACGACACAGACAGCATGGTGGACCGTGTCACTGACTACATTAACGTCTGTGTAGACAACACCATCCCCACCAAAGACGTAGACTGCTTTCCCAATGACAAACCCTGGATCACCAGCGACCTGAAGGCTCTTCTGAATGACAAGAAGAGAGCCTTTAGGAGGGGGGACAGGGAGGAGGTCAGGCGTGTACAGAGGGAACTAAAGCAGAAGTTAAGAGAGAGCAAGGACGCCTACAGGAGGAAGGTAGAGGACAAGCTGCAAAGGAATAGGGTGAGAGATGTATGGAGCAGCATGACAGAGATCACTGGTTTCAAACAGGCTGGAGGTGTAACAGAGGGGAACCTGGAGATGGCCAACGGGCTGAACCAGTCCTTTAACAGGTTTGATTCGGGGCCCTCTGTGGCTCAACACCCATCCCCCCACAGCCACACGCTCCCTAAGCCCTCACAGCTGCGACTGCCCAACACCTCCTCCATCCCCCCACAATCATGGCCGCCTACAGCTACGACCCCCAACAGCTATTCACCCCGCCATCCCCTGCAGCTGCCATTCTCCAACACCTCCACCATTAACACCTGCAGCACTTACAGCGCTCTGAGCACCATCCCCCAGGCCAGGCTGACCATCATGGCTGACCAGGTGAAGAAGGAGCTGAAGAGGCTGCACCAGGGTAAGGCCACAGGACCAGACAACGTCTGTCCCAGAGTTCTGAGGGCCTGTGCTGATCAGCTGAGTGGAGTGCTCCAGCGACTGTTCAACCTGAGCCTGCGCTTGGAGAGAATCCCTGTGCTCTGGAAGACATCATGCCTGGTTCCGGTACCAAAGAAAGGGTGCCCCTCTGTCCTCAACGACTACAGACCACTTGCACTGACTTCTCACG